TTTGTACAAGTATATCCTCATTATTCATATATTCTAGTTTAAAATTAACAAATGTATGTCAGAATTGCACATACAAATGGAATATTTTAGCTTTTTAAGTTCAAAATATTTGATTATTCATCTGTTTGGTAATCTGAATTTTGGTGAAAATTGACAATTTTTGACTAAAATTTTTTTAAAGAAAAAAACCACACGACTTTCTTTTTATTTTATGAATATATAGAATGTTGTCTTTTAAAATTTGTCACTGACATGTAAAAGTATTGTTGGTCTTGGTAGATCAACAGATTAAAAATTTAGGAGTTTTTGAAATTTTTCATTTTCGAATTTTAACACATTTTTAAATGGTTGCTATGGAAACAAACTATGTAGTAAATTCAAAATTTTTACGTTTTTGTATAGTTTGTGGTTTGGTTTGTCAATACTGTAAATATACTTATTGTTTGTATTGATTAACTTTATTTCAATTGTTCTTTAAAATCCCTTATATTTCAATTTTCAAAGGCTACTTTTGTACGTATTTTGGCAAAATTTTGTAAGGATGGTTTCCATGGCAACCAAGGTTCAAAAGAAAAAAATAATATATGAAACTTATTTTCATACCATACCTTCTTCATAAACAAAATATAAAGACATTTGAAGAGGGGTCATGAATCGCCCATCAACAGGAACCTGCATGATTCTTACAAAGACAGGTACTTAATTGGCAAAACCTGAATTTATCGCTTCATTACCCTGGTGTATTCAAACGTTAGAACTAGCGAGAAATGCTAAGCTATAAAATGTTTTTAAATTGTCCGTTTATGAATTTAGCAATTATAAAGAAAATAAGGGTTCAACTCCCTCAGACAAAGTTGACCTTACCTGTAGATCGATTTGGCTATGAATTTGGGTCATTTTGGTCATATACCTCCTTGGCTTTCAAATATTCGGCTTTGAGCGTTCCGGAAGAAGGTAAATCCAGAAAAGCGCTTTGGAATCCCGACATTTATAAATAGCTGTTTTAATTTTTTTTAAGGACTGATTGATTTTATTTGAGATAGTTAAAGCTGGTATAGTTCCTTCCATTTCTACATCTTCCATTTAAGTTATAATTTTCATGAGATATAATGTTTTTTACTTTCATTTTTATCGTTACAGGATGTAGAGGATTATGAAATCAAGAAGACGTTGATATAAAAAGAAAAACATTATCCCCATTTTGTAACTTTTAGTAAATATGCACAGATTAGTGGGACTTACATAGTTTGTGACAAAATAGTGTCAAGAAAGTAAATTAACGGCTACCACACACGAACTATCGAATACAACTTTATGAGTCATTATACTTTCTTTGTCACTGGTCAACTATCTACATAGACATGTATTTTTTGGATTGTTTGCACGGGGTTCAATAATTCTGTAGTATTGCAGAAAAAAATGATTATTATTTTTTTAGTTATATCTCATATTTGATGTAAAACATACTAAAACGTATATTCAAATTACAAAAAAGGTTTAAAAAAACAATTAACAATGCATGAATTCGTGATAATGTATCAGTATTTCGTGCAAAATTTAGACAAGACGTCATCTTATTATCCATCCAGATTATCACCGAAGACTGCCGACGGTCACATAACCCGATATAAACATAAATAAAAAAAGACAGCTGGGAAGCATGTGCAATCATATAATGACAATTTGTATAGATTTGTTTGAATTTATGTTACAGTTATAGATTTTTTTTTTAAAGGGTCAAAGTCTCAAATGGCCGTGTTGCAATATTTGTGACTAAATTTTGCTGGAAAATGACTAAGTTTCAAAGTCTGGAAAAAGGAGGAAAATAATCCTCAAACAATTCAATATTACCAGGTGCACAACTTTAACATATGTACAATCTTTCTGTTTTAGGGATCTGGGTTGAAAAATAGGAGGAGTTGCTTACACAAATCAGGTATCCACTTTTCCCCGAAACATCACCATACTATAAGCCGGTTTCGGACTTTGTCCAACCCGGCCAAATATATGAATATGAACGTTTAACCTGTAAAAAAATATTTTTTGTTGGTCGGATCAGTCAACGAAATGGTTATTCCTGGTGTCTCCCTTTTTTGCCTTTCTTTTCTTTTTAATGAATGAAATACGCGCTAAGCACATGCGCAACCCATTTCCACTAAGATCCAATAAAAGTTTACCTGAACACGGATTCAACTGAGGCTTTTTTAATGACTTCCATGTCAATAACACATCAGCAATATTGTTTAGCTTATTTTGACGAATTTACACCAAACTAACTGCTAAAAGAGATATATTATTTTTTTATTCCGCGTTTGTAAATATTGAAAACTAAAACAAAAATCTTATTTTAAATGTTTGTTTTATTCGTAGCTAATGCCCCTTAAAGTCACTTTTCAAATAAAATTATATATTAGATTTCTAATGTTAAGAAAATATTTGAATCATTGCTCGGCTTTGACTTTACTTTTTGTCTTTTTTTTTTTTTTTTTTTTGGTTTATAAGCTCTTTTTTTTCTTAACACGTTTTGGATTATCAAATATTTTGGCCTCAAGAATAACAGAAGATACATTTAATTTCGAAATGCGCATCTACGTTGTCGTGCAAGCATAACCTTCTATCTATTTCAAAGTATAAGAAAAGAGGATGTAGTTGACTTACACGTAACAAATATAAAGTCATTCTTTCCGTATTTTTTTCGGTGTGACGGAAATATTTGTTATAAGAACGGATGGACATTTATTTAACACACTAGATTTTTGAATAGTTTCGTCAAATGTTCCAAAAGTGTACATCGGATGTTTTGAATGTCTATACTATGGTTTGGTCATATTCTGTGTGTTCAAAAAGTGTTACAGAGTTTTGAAAGCGTCGACATGTTTAAAAACTACATGTATGTGTTTCACTAATTGTTGAAGGCTGCACGGTGACCTATAATTGCTCACATCTACATTATTTAGTCTCGTGTAGACATTTTTCTCATTTGGTAACAATGCCAAATCTTCAAATTTTTAAACTAAGTATGTATAATTGATACATAAAGGCACGTCAGTATTAAAAAACTAAAAACCTTACATTTAATTGATGAGTACTAACGTCCACATTTAGGAACACCATCAAGACAGACAGAAGATACTAAGGGGATATTCAAACTCATACAGTATACAAAACTAAAGATTGAGCAGCAAGAACCCCTTCATTCAAAACCGGGGGTGATCGAGATCCTGCTCCACATATGTTCCTGTTAGTTCAAACTCGATGATGTCACATTCGAGAAAAAGAGGACTGGACTGTGGTTACGATAATAGGAATATATCCCCGTCATCCGTGAAAATGATGTTCATTAAATATAATAAATAATTCAAAAAGTGTTCGATAATTGATATTTTTATTAACACTTATACTTCGTTCTTGTCCTCAATGTACGTGGTAATTTTTCCTCTTAACTTAAAAAAAACTCAATTCTAACAGAATGTAAATTGTTAATATTGGATATCAAGGATTTTCATTAACCGGTCTATTGATTTACAAGCTTTCAGCGCATCTTATAGCTAAGTGTATACATTTGTACTTGTGTAAACTGGTGTCATCATCCTTTATTATTTGATAAATATCTGAAGTTATAACTTCAATGCTTCAATTGTCGTCATTACTGAATGTAATATGCTATCAAACCTGTTTAAGTAAACATTGTAATATGCGTGTAATTAGATGATATGTGCACGAAAAGTAACATGATTTAAATCAATTTTTTCTTATAGAATATTTGTCATAAAACAAACATTGTGGGACTCACATGAATGAATAAAACATTAAAATGTTGAGTTTAATGTGTCTCTTTTTCAATTAAGGTGTGTAGAAAATGTTATTGAAAGTATGGATGAAAACAGAAGTATTTTGTACAACTCTAGTGAAACAGTCTTTATATGTTCATTTGATGGCACAACTAGAGTTGATTACCATTATTGGATATTGCATTTTGGAGCTGGAATAGTTTATATGTTCACATGTTTTGTAATTTTCACGATTGTCCGATTAGTAAAAAATGGAAAATGGTCAACAGATAATATTATGTTTCTAACGTTAGTTCTATGTGGATGGTGTACTGGAATTTTTGGGTACATCCCGAAGCAAATGATTCGTATATTTGAGAGAATCGATGATTCAAATTTTGTAAACAGTGATGGATATATTTACAACAAAAATAGTCGCTATCCAATTTGTCGTATAAATTATATATTAGAAATTATTTTGCTTGGAATGTGTTTTGATGTTTCTACGTTTGTTTTGACAATTCTCGCTGGTTTAAAGTTTGCTGCAATTCAATTTCCAATATGGATTCGATGTAACGTGAAGTCATCATATTGTAGTAGGTACATTTCAGTTGGAATACTACTGTCTTTAATCTTAAACATGTCGCAGATTTTAATTAAAAATTTTCCAAGAGGGGCTAACAAAAATACATGCTGTGATATGCTTGAAACGAAATTTAAAGTGTTTCATAAAGTGTCTTTTTATGCATGGATAGTTTTACAAATACTAAATTTCACTGCATTTTTAATGGCGTCTATATTAATTTTGAGACGTGTGGGTAAACAAAAAATGAATCGTAAAAACAACAATGATAGTGTTAACAAGCGGAACAAGCAAGCGCTTGCGAAACATGTAGCAATTGCTTTAGTTTTTATTCCGACTAACACTGCAAAGATTTTGTATCAAATGCATATAAAACTTAATGTATTTACATTAGGAACTACCATACAGTCTTTACAGTTATCTGCATTAGTTGGATTTATCTTGTGCATGTTCCTATATATCATCATCAGTACAGAGCTTACTTCGGTAATTTTTAATATCTCAAATATACATTGTTTTAGTTCAAAAGTAGAAATGAAACACCGTAACGTTGAATATATACATGATCATGTCAAAGAGTTGCAACAAACTCGATTTTGCAGGGAAAGTGGTCACTAAAAGTTTTGGAAGAAAATAAATATAAAACTTTGTGGACTTTTATTTCAATTAAAACTGCACGTTCTACAGTCGATCGACATTGTTTAAATCATACAAATGTATGGTTTAGTATCTTCAACTATTGGTAGAATTGCATGTGCGTTCTTCGGACTGCATGCTTTGATTACATCATGTGTACAACTTGCCCATTTATCTATAATTCTGAAAAAAACAAAAGATAGATTAAAAACACATATGCCATCAGCAAGCTACGAACAACATGTCAAACCAGTAAAAAACTTTATGCTAGAGCAAACAATTTTATTTGATGCGCATATCTCCAAAGGTATTGCTAACAAAGTTGTAAGCAGTAAACTGTATAAGATGTGACATCGCAAATCGTTTTCATTTTATCATCCATTTTACCTGAGTACAATAAAGACAAAATATAAAAGTAATCTCTCAAATCTGATATGTGCATAAACACCCTCTTGAATAAAACCTCCAATAGATATAGGAAGATGTGGTATGAGTGCCAATGAGACAACTCTCCATCCAAGTTACAATTTATAAAAGTAAACCATTATAGGTCAAGGTACGGCCTTCAACACGGAGCATTGGCTCACACCGAACAGCAAGCTATAAAGGGCCCCAAAAAAATACTAGTGTAAAACCATTCAAACGGAAAAACCAACGGTCTAATCTATATAAAAACGAGAAACACGTATGAACAACATAAACAGACGACAACTACTGTAATCAGATTCCTGACTTAGGACAGGTGCAAACATTTGCAGCGGGATTAAACGTTTTAATGGTACCAAACCTTCTCCCTTTTCTGAAACAATAGCATAACATCACAACATAGAAAAACACACTATAAAATATCAATTGGAAAGCTTAACTCAATCAAAAAACGTAAATTAACACACAATGAACGAATAAATTTGACCTGTGACACCTGAATGCAAATACACAGTTAATAAAAATTACAAGGGATAAATAATTAAAGTCAAAAGTAAATAAACAGGTTTAAAAAAAGTTAAAGACCTTGAATAATGGGAAGGCGGACAAACCATGTGCCTAGTAAATACTTAATATCTAGGAATGCGACTCATGTTGATTAATATGAATTATTATAAAACATAGATGATAATTTATTAGAAAAAGAAATGTCTGGAAAACGAGAATACATGATATTTTTGAAAGGCTGAAAGGTACAGCTATATAAATATAAAATAAAGTAGAATAGGATTTGTTAATATTTTAGAATTTAATGCTTCGTTTAATAATTGTATTGTAAACGCGTTGACCGAAGCACATTCCGCACTTCATGCAAAAAATATGCACACAATCAATGCTTTTACAACCCTATAAAATTATAAAAAATAGAAGCTTACATCCACTTCATTTGAACTTTGCTGGATAGTTGTCTCATTGGTAATCATACCCCATCTCCTTATTATTATCTTCTATTATAACATTTTTATGCTACAACCATGAACTTTAGAGTTATATCAAGCTATTTGTTTGTTTCTATGCATTGTTTTTTCACATTGTCACCGATAGCACGTGCAGTAAAAGCTGATGTATTTCAAACGGAAAATAAATATGATATTAGAGTGCTTTCCGATTGTTGTGAGCCAATAAAAAATACGTATTTGAATGCAACTTAGATGTAATATTAATGTTATTATTGTGCTTTAAAAGAAACTTAATATAAAGCCCATCGACAGATTTCAGAACTAAATAATTTAGAAAAAAAAAGATCAAGTGCAAAATATTATCTATGCATTAACTTATTCAGTGTATTGTTCAGTTATTAATTATAAAGTCGAACTTACTGCGGACAGTGAACTAATTGTTAGTTTACACGTCCATGTTATTACTTTATGTCTGCTGGATCCCATTTTATTTGTGTTGTGTTATTGTTTGTTAATTATTGTAAACCATCCACTTTTAAGGGTACGATTGTGTATTCGTATTAAAAATACTGTATAATATGAATTAATAGAGATGTTGCGTCAATAACCGCAACCCAACGACATGAAAGTACAAACATACATCTAGAGGGCAAAAGAATGGTGTCTATACATTATGTTAAACTCTAAATCGTTTCAATTCTATAAAAAAAATGCGAAAAAAAAAACGATTGCAATATATAAAATATATAACTTCAACACCCAATATTTCAAATAAAAAAATATAACCATTAAGATTTTACTTAAGACATATAGCAAAAAAAAAATATTCAGATATGACACAAGAAACATTTAGAAAGGACATAAGACGAATACTCATTGATAAAGTCATAATAATAAATTAACTGTTTACGAAACTTTGAATTGTTCGAAGTACTTATGGACTTTTTACCCTAGGAAAATATTATCCTAGCTGTATTTGACAATACCTTTCGAAATTTTGGGTGCTCAATGTTTTTCAACTCTATTTGGCCTTTTTGACTTTTTTGAATCGAGACTCACTTATAAGACTTTTGTAGACGAAAAGCACGTCTGGCGTACACAATTGTTATCCTAGTATCTATGATAAGTTTACTGACAATGTTCCTGACATGGGACATGCACATGGATATATGACGAGGATATCTATTTTTGTTGTTGTTAGATCTAACCCCTCCATTTAGGAGTTTAGTAACCAATACAAAATGTACATGTATTATGTGAATGTTAGCCTACGGTTTTTGTAGTTTAATTAATACAAATGGAAATCCTGACGATATGCAAACATTGTGTTTGCACTACTTATTCTGCAGGCTTATCTATTTTCATGGACATCAATTTTCGTGGATTGAAGAACAATTATATTTTAAGGGATACTTGATTTCATGGTTTGAACAAATTCCGCAGTGAAGCTTGATGGATAATGTATATTTCATTTGTTAAATTCAAGGTTCAAATATACCAACGAACAAGGTTCCTCAAATTTGCACTGGACTCAGTTCATATTAGAATTAACAATTTGAAACCTTCATTGTGGATTGTTCATCCCAGAGGCCTAAGTATCATAATAGTAGTTGGTGCTTTGGTACTGATATACCTTATACCATAAATTTCGAAAAAAAAAATGAATTTACATTAGAGTTCGGTATTTTTGTTAAACTTTTGTGCACGTACTCCAAATAGTGTGTTCAGTGGACCAGTAAATAACTGTATCTAAATAATCACGCCACAGTTTCTGTTTATCTCAAAAACTTTCAATAATACGTACATGGTACTTGGTAATGTCGGAAAGTGAGTTTTGTACAAGTGACCCCGTGTTACAGATTGCCTCATTCTGCTTACGGTAAATAATGATTGCAAAAACTCAGTAATGGACAAGTGGGTGGCCTGCTCAAAGGATAAATGTCTGTATCTACCAAACATACTTGTTTACACATCTGAAGTGTAATTTTCCCGCCCATTGGCTATCTTTGCAGAACCTATTAATTTATTTTTCTTGTCCTGAGTATACAAGAATTTGCCATTTCACCTTTAGCAAATAATTTCCAGATAATACTTCCAATATTTTCTTTGCGAAAAATCACCATAACACCGCAGTAGTTTGCCAGCGATTTTGGTTTTTAGTTTAAATGTCTTTTTTTAAAACATATCTTACCCACAGTCTACTGCGTTTGCTGTGCTTTGTGACTGGTTCCTCCTTCTTTTACTCAGTTCATCCGCTGCATCGTCGTAACATTTGTCAACCAACTGTTCTTGATACACCGGGTCATTATAGCAGGGGGAAATTAATCAATTCAATTCTACAATCATAAGAAAATGTTATGTTTGATCTATATTAGGCAAATTATGCAATAGAATTGAATATTTCCACTAATAATCTTCAATACAGAATAAACCAAAGAACTTGTATGATTTGTCAATTTCTCAAGAATACGGCTCATCATTATGAAAATAAGGAAATGTGAAATTATTGCCAATGAGATGGAAGAAAGCAACTATGTGTCACGATATGTCATTCAACAGTGAGAAATACCCATAACTTATAGTAACATATGAAAGTCGACATTGCAAAAGGAAAATTAATTCAAACAAAAACCCAGTATGTGATGCAGAAACCAACAACAACCACTGACTATGTTTTGGAACGACACAAACCGTTCAATAACCAGGGACAGTGGTGTAATAGCATAACATAAGAACAAATCGTACGCGTATCAATTAGTTAGAAATTGCTTAATTCAACGGATAACATATATATAAACAGAAGACAAAACGTAGCAATCTTCGAGATCTCGCATTTACTGAAAGCTAGTTTGAGGCCAATGCAGTTACAATAGATGAATCATGTTCGAAAAGACTAAATGACAAATCAGTATACATCCAACGGAATTTGTGTAAAGACGTCATAACCACTTTGAGAAAAGCGTGACCTTGTGCAATGTCAAAATTTAAGTAAATAGCAATGACAGGAATACAAGTTTTCGTAATTGTATAGCAATACATATTAAGTTAAAAAAATAAACAATCAATAAGAATACCGGAATACCGATATATAAATCGAAACATCTAATTACTACGGTATTTAGTCGATAATCTTATAAACCTTAAGTTTACGAGCAACGCGTTTACATTGATCGTATCTAAGTTTACGGGTTTTTTAAACAACATCAACTTTGAGGATGTCCTACCCCGTTTAAAATAAGAATTAAACAGGAGCAGACAAACTTCCAAATCAAATATTTGTATCTATGAAAAGTATTTTGTAAAACGTTCATGCTTATGAAGTATACATAAATGAATGATTAAAATTAAAATGTGTAAACAAGTAACGTCCAAACAAAATCTGCTTCCTAATTATCCGAAATACTCAAGGTTATTGTAACCTTTACCAACCTATTCCTTCGATAATAATGCCATTATGGTTTCCCTCGAAGTTTGGCAAATGGCTAAATGCGCTACAATTTATCAATTTAAATTAAAATAAACGAAGACTTTTCATAAAGAAAACATTTAAAGGAATACGGGAATTACCAGATATTTTGCACAGTACATCAAACCACAACATTCTTTTATATTTTTCAGTTGAAACCGTTGGAAAATCAAAATGATTGGGGGGAAAATATCGAAGTCCAAGGCAAATGCAAGAGACAACAGAACCCACAATTGATAGATTATTATTCTATAGTTGCTTGCTTCACGTTACAGGAAAATTCGAGCAATGTGAACAAAACAACCAATGATTGATAAACAATTATAGATAGGTATCGGCTAGCTTACCGATAGGTGGCAACTACCCATATTCGGGAGAACAATTAATACAATCAGTAAGTCCTTCAAAGTGGAGCAACCGGAATGAATGGCAGGACATTGCTACTAGAAAACTAGAGAATGTCGGTAGGGGCAGACATTTTGACTGTTGCAGGTTCCCTACGAACCCCTTTGTGTATTGTATGGGTTCTTTGACATTCATAGCGTGCCTACGTCTCCAATTGGACTGGACGTTGACTTCGTATGTATACTACAGTACTCATGTCGTCTATTGCATACACTCACTGGTAGAAGGAATACCAAAAGACATTTCTCTTGAAATATAAAAGCAAAGGAGATCTGAGTAGATCTTTATATAAGCCGACATAAATTGATTCAATTAACAGCACTATCATTTATACCTGCTTTGTAAGTGATGCAAATTGGATTGTATGTGTTTTTCATCATTCCAAACAATTGTTGTTGTACGACATCACATGCTGCTCCATTATCCTTAATGCAAGGCAGTATTTCCGAGAAGTACCTGGAACAATATACCTTGTACAAAAATTCATTCGTTACATAAATAACTGTACTTAATAACATAATTTCAATATCATTAAAAACCTATTTGATGGGTCAAAACAAGGCTAGCTACAGTACGAATGTAAGTTTGCCTTTTCACTTTTTCTGCAGCCCGGTTCATTTCATCAAACTTCAGTGATTTGTTTAATGTTTTGTAAACTGATGTTCCTATTTTCGTCGTTTTTTCCTTTCTTTTGGTCGTGATTTTTACCTTATTTACTACTAGTCGTCATAACAACCATTACAGTAATTTTGATTAACAAATTATTAAAGATACAGACATGCAACAACGGATTCAGAAGCATTTAATCATTCACGTACAATAATATTTTGAAGAAAAAAATTTGCCATAAAATTTAATGTTTTTTTTTTTGCTTGTGCAGTTTTAATCGTTTGTATCCCCTCCTATAAAACATATTTCCATAAATGTTGTTCCTGGTTTAACTGGTCTTTCTTCACATGACTGAAAAAGTCTACTAAAAATATATTGAAACGTTTTAAAAATGTTGCTTGCTTTGGAAATTTGGAAATTTTTTAACACCATCTCTGGAGAACGAGTGATAATAACTATTTTTGTATCGACGAAGCAATGCATGATAATAAGTATAAAGTTGGCTAAGCATGCATTGCAATTTTTTTGTAATGGAACTCGTATACGACTGATAACTAATAATCCGCTTCGCTGAATTGATTTTAAAAAGGTACATACAACTCCAAAGTTGTTTTGAGTCTGAAGTAATAACAACAAAGGAATACGCATGATAAAGCCACTTTTTTGGCCAATACAAACCAAATAATAAATATATAAAATTTTATCCTTCAGATGTTCATAAGACATTATTCTTACGTACATCAGCATTTAAATGCCAGAATATTGTCTTACCTATTGGCATTAGGGCTTCAAACTTCCTACATTACATTAAGTGCAAAACATCCAAAATTGACAAAATCACTGCCTTAATCATCCTCAGAACGAGGTTAAATGAATACAGTTGACTATAATGAAATACTCACGGACAGAAAACATCAAGGTAGTTCAAATGCATAGTCATCTTCCATTTGTGATTTTCTTCATCATATTCATAATCCATCAGCTCACTTGAATCAAACGTTGCATTTGGACATTTATACACTTCATCACAAGATCCACCTAAAGTTTGAACACAAGATCGTGATACTTAATTGATAGCTTTTAGTTTAGAAATGCTTGTTAATAATTATTAATTGATATTGTAAATGAAGAGTTATTTATCTTTTATACTCTTTAGGGATATGTTTATTCTGTGTTACTGTGTATTATGTTAAAGATTTTTATGACGGTAAAATATTTGTATTTGTTATTTGATTATATAAATATATTCGCTATTAACACAACTTCCAATACACTCCAGTGTATAGAAATTAAACACAGTTCTATGGCAATGTGCACGAATCATCTCTCTCTTACTCGGAGATTTCCGATAAAATGATATACGTATGAAACATGACGTAATACCTAATGGGAACTGTGATTGCCAACCTATAAATTTAGACAAATACGTCCCTCAAGTTTAAGCTAAATATTCCTAGACAATTACAACCATACACTGAAATGTTCGCCAATATCAAATAATTTTGAGGAGACGAAAATTAATAGAAATCATATATTTCTAGCTCACCTGGCCTACAGATCAAAGAGAGCTTTTCTCATCACTTGGCGTCCGTCGTTATCCATTAATTTTTACAAAATCTAATCCTCTGAAACTACTCAGCCAAATTTAACCAAACTTCACCACAGTGATCATTAAGGTATCTAGTTTTAAATGTGACCAATTATCCTTCCTGTCAATTACCATGGCTGACATGGCTAAAATAGAAGATAGGGGTAAATTACACGTTTTGTCTATTATCTTGAAGACCTCTATAGAGAAAATATGACGGGGCAAAAATGTTCAGAATGATGCGATCTACCTGTTGTCCGTTTTGCTCACAAATTGTTGTCAATATAATGGAATTCAATGTGACTGTCAAACAAGTGAGAGATTTAGCTAGCTATAAAACAAGGTTCGGACGTATGAAATTATTAAACGTGTTGTTTTCAATTTTTTTATCCACCATTTTCTACATAAGGAAATGCCTGTACCAAGTCAGTAATATGACAGTTGTTTTCCGTTCGTAAGATGTGTTTGACCTTTTGATTTATGCTATTTTATAAAGAACTTCCCGTTTTGAATTTCCCTTCTAGTTCGGTATTTTAGGTATTGTACTTTTTACATCAAAACTGTCAGACGATAAACTCCTTATAGGAGTTTTTGCCCTTTAATGTCGATGTTATAAGCTTAAATTTCCTGCAATATTATATGCAGTTTCATATCTAAAACAGGTAAAAAATCAAATTAAGCGTTCGATCTAAACATGTATGAACTGGAAATAATTTTATGTTATGAATGACAAATTATGTCATGTTTCCACTCACATGGATCAATTGTAAGGGTTTCTCTTTGTGCAGTTAACAAACTTACTGGGACCGTTACAAGTTTCATAACAAAATGATTCGGATAGATATGGTGTAAGACAAGTTAAAATTATCTATAAAAAATACATTCTTGATTTAAAAGTTTAATGGTTGTTAATGTTGATGTTGCAAGATTTGCTCTTGCAGTTGGTGTTCTTTTGAAAAAAGTTGCTGGCTTGAGTATTTAAATTCGTTGTCGATGATTTGGTATTTAAAACCTTAATTAAAAAATAATATTAAAATTATACAAATGTAAACAAGTCGAAGTTTTAATCGTTAAGAATCTGAGACAAATGGGTTAAACAGCTGGACGATTTTATACCCCAAACGGGTCAAATAATTGTAAAATAAAACTGAAATCTCATTAATTTTAAATTAGAAATGTACATAAATATATATTCTTACTTGCATGAACCATCATGAACTGGAAACAAACAAATATTGAACCAAACAGCCACATATTTTCTTTTTTCAAAGAATACCGAATGATTTTTGACTTATATATTGTATTCGTCGGTACATCGGAAACGAATATAACCACCTCTATTAATTACAAAATATCACAGCTGTAGTTTTCAAAGTCTTTATAAATTGATGACATTTTAAAACAATAATTGTTTCGAAAGGGAATTATCCGAATTTAAATATGGCTAATTGTCTGTACTTAGGGAAATTAGAGGAACCATGGTCTTTAAACTTTATTTGTGTAAAAATCTCAACAAGCAGACGTTTTTATTTCAAGTTATTTTTCAAAACACAATAATTTTGAGCATTGTTTTCGAAAACATGTCACGTTTTGGCAATTGCAATACGCTTTTCTTGCAATTAAAAATTTGAACGGTAATGAATTCCCGTTCTCTTTCAAAATAGCAAAAACAAAATATTGGCCTGTTGTCAAAAAAAATCTGATCATTTTGAACGCAGGAAATGTAAAATATTCATGTAAATTCGACATATTAATTTTAATAGAATACATCAGAACAAATATTAAAATACTTCAACAAAATATCATAATCAAACCATACTTACGACAAAGGATTTAAAATGTTTACCAACAAAAATTATTTAGAGTAAGCTCTCGTATGAAAATGTTAAAAAAAAATATTACTCGTTCCACCATCAGAATATCGTTGTTAACCTACTCACTATTTCAATTATAAATGTTCCATAACAAAATTTAATCGTCAGGAAATTAACTCTATGGGTACAAAGCAAAAAACCTTGACGTGTCCCCAAACCTGTCATATCCGCCATTTGTATCGATATCAACAAACGTGCCCGATAACGAAAAAAGTGAAAAGAGTGAAGTTTCGACCGGGAAACATTTGGATATAAACTGGACACATTGATAACCAAAACAATAAAAACAATAATTAATTTAACGAATATCACATTAAAATTGTGTAGCTTCATGCAAATACAAATAAATAAATAAAATGGCATGCAAATAAAATAGTCGTTAATCTGCCATTCTCTGGCGCCCTCCATGTATAATTTTTGGATTCATCATATAATGGTTTGATGGCTCTTTAGAAAGCTTCCATACCATTTGGTTGATGGTTATTTGGATTTGGCATGTCTCTTCCCATTGCATCACTCATTGACATCATGGCCCAAGCTTAAGAAAATATTTCAGAAAGAGCACAGACAACAGACGAGTTAAGGCTATATCGTCTAACAATGTGTGGCATCTCTCCTGGGGATGCACACATCAGAATTCAAACACGTGTGTATATAACCGTTTTCTTACACGGATTTGTTATGCATAATTTTGATTTCCATATAACGTTAATGATAAGGCATTGACGAGGTTATTACCACCACATGTAACAATATCGGTAATTTCAGATTCAATCATCTCAAATATTTGCATTTTGGACTCGCGTTTAGTAGCAGCTATCAATGCTCGGCATCCATATTGGTTTGCCTATGTAAATAAAAAATAAAAAAAATATTAAAGAATGATCTACCACTTAAGCAAATTATATGTTTCTTTGGATAAAATTACTTTTCAAACATAAGATTGATATATCAAGGCGGTGGTTACACGTGGGTGCTCATTTTCCAAAACCATCCTTTTTTTTGTTATTTCCCGCACTTCCCGCTTTGTTTCCCATTCCCCCAAATCACAGATTTGTTTTCTTTAATGCTTCCTTTAGGACTACCTAGAGCTGTCTGTTTGCTTTTGTGTGGTTCCACTGCATTGAAAATCGTACGCTGAGCTATCATGGATATATCATATAGGCGAAAACTATTTACAGGTTAAATGTTGAACAAGGGAAATATTTACTGGTAAAAAATATCCTTGACATAATTGAAAACTTAACATTAAGATTTTAAATTGTTTTTGTGCCTGTACATTGATGTATTTTGATTCATCTGATTTTGTCACATTTTCAACAACTACATTTCAAATTAAACTGCACCTTTAATACATGTACACATTAATTTAATTCAATATTTAGAAAATTAAATAAACACACACACACACACACACACCAAAATGAACCATTTTTCATCAACTGAAATAAACGCATATTATGAAATGCATGTAAAATCGAACATTAATTTACAGTTCAGAGGTTAATAGTATTTATAAATACTAGATTGTTTAAACTTTCGTTTCTTTTGTGCCTTCTCCGGACCTTTTTCCTCTGCCTTATAGGTAACGGTACTGTGATCAGCATCTTCAGATAAACAGACATCAGATGTGTCGATGTCAAAATTTGGCATTGTAGTTTCCTCTGAAAACGATGAAAATTTTACTTGTCCATATGGTATTTCTTCATCATATGTAGTATCCGGACTGGTTGTAACTTTAATATCACTATTACTTTTGTGTAGATCAGATGACTTTGAGATACTATTACCTTCAAATTCAGCTACATTCTCGGATACGACTGATCTATTTGAACAATCATTTGATTGATGGCTTTCATCACTGTCAGCATGATCTCCTTCTTCTTTCTGATCATCATCATAAAACTTTTGTAGGTTTGGTTGTAAGGTCCTAACACTTTATTTGAATCCGTCTTTTAGTTTGTAATTGCGCTTTCCATAGTAGGAGACGATTTCATATGGTCCCTTACATCTAATTTGCTCAACAGTGCCCATTCCGTGATTACGTCGAAAGTTTTTAAACAAAAACTTTTTCTCCAATTTAATGTGTTTTGGTCATTACATTTCTGCGCCTATCATAATTCTGGTTTTGGTCCGCCTGTTCTTTTTTAGTGTTCACCATCATCATTTGTTCTTGTTCATCTTTTTGTCTGTTTCAACCGGTTTACTTCACTTGTTAAATCAGACGAAGAAATTTCTACATTTTCAGCATAACTTGTTAAACCATACATCATTTCATTCGGTATGGTTGGTTTTCTAATATACATGGCCTCAAATGGGGTTATTTTAATACTCTCGAGAACAGACGTCCTGTTTGCAAATAAAAGTTCATTTATATACTCATGCCAGTTCTGTCTATCTTCCTTGATGAATTGATTATCACCACTAACCAATTACTCTATGGTTGAAACGATGATGTTGTTATGTGTTTTATGCCATTTTTAGGCGACAGTTCGTTCAAAATTTTGTTGGTGAATTCACCACCACAATCGGATACTAATTCATTACAACCTCCAAATCTATAAAATGTATCTTCAATTTTAAGACGCTATTTCTTTTGCAATTTTACTGTTGAAAGGGTATGCTTCAGGCCATTTAGATGTATAACCAACTGTAGTCAAAACATATCTGAAAAAAATGTTAAACAACTAAAATAATGATTTAGTAAAAAAAAATAGAACTCTGACCATCCGTCCGTGCGTCTGTTCTCAACTTCTTGAAAACAAAGAAAATTATAGAATCCTTTGGAAATTGGTATGTTACTGCCTTTTAAAGTGTTTACATTCCATTGTCCTATTTTGGGGTTATGTAGATTAAAAAAAATCACTAATTTTTTAAATATTTTTGTGAAAAGACACCTCCCTTTTCCTATCAAGAAAAAAAAAATGACCACCCTGCCGATAATTAATGATAAGTTTTATCGTTTGAACAGAATCTGTGAAAGGATAGAATTTTAGGTTTTTTACAGCTTCCTACGTCTTAAACTTGTTGCACAAAGGTAAAATGTTAACTATTGGATACCATGAACAATTTACCTTGATCTTTCTATCGATATCTTTGTAGAATAAAATTTCACACTGATCGCTGTGATCTGATGTTTATTTCAATAATTTTTAAAAACGTGTTTTACATTTTTGTAAATTATATGTAACCCTAAAATGTTTTTATAATATAGCTCACCCTTTAAATATAATTTAAAGTTGTTATAAACAAATATTAAGTCCAACATTAATTGACCAATGTATGGAGGGCTGCAATTGCAAGCACACATGTCACTCTATCATAGTTGAAACAGAAAGAGGTGTACAAGATTACGTGAACTTGGGTTGCCGTCATGTCAATTTAGAGTCAATCTTCAAACTAAACATATATTTAGTGGGAACAAAAGGAAAACATATACATGTAATTCAGAAAGTTTGCGTCTGCAGATTTTTAAGAAGCAAACACTATCTTCCTTTACTAGGCGTCGAATCAACTTGTTAAGAAACATTTGAACAGCTCAGGACGGGTGTTCCGTAGAGCTGATGGCTCATGGAAAACATCTAAAGAGAATAACTCACCAGCATATGGATACAGATTGATTGAAATAAATAAATTACAACAGCAATATCATGAAATAGCAAATCATGTTGTATTTTGTGAGAAGGCAAGATATATTGCAGTACGGGGTGATAATATGGTAGAGGTTATATCACAGCCAGCTAATTATGGATTAGCAACAACACTTCTGGCACGTTGCTCTGGTTGTCAACAGAAGCTTACGTTTGATACAAGCCCAAGGCTTAACACAAACGTCAGTAGACATTTCGATGTTCGATGTTAATGTCCGTGCTGTATGGGGAGCATTAGCAAGTGGACATGGATTAGCTCATCGAAATGAAGTTTTAGCAACTCTCCTACAATGTCCAAAACACTTTTTCAACAATAGAAAATGAAATAAGTCAGCGGTGGAAAGATTTTCTTCCTGAAGACTTTTCAGCAGCTATTGCAGAGGAAAAAGAATTGCAATTGAAAAGGATAAATTTCATGAAGGTGTGTATTTGTTGTTTTTCATTACCAATATGCTATAATTTATGGTGCATATCATCATGTTTAAATAGTCAAAATTTGGGCTGTGCAAATTGACTGCTTGTTTAACTGCATAAGTTAATTCTCAAGGTTTTTACTGGTTGATGAAAGAATTTAAAATGATAATACTGCAATGAATAAGATAATACATATATTTCAAGAAAAAATTATGTTTAATACAAAAGGAAATTTATGGTGTATCAATATGAATAAGGAAATATGGTGTGAATGCCAATGAGACAACTCTCCATCCAAGACACAATGAAGTTAAAGAAATCAATTATAGGTGTTAACAGTACAGCCTTCAACATGGAGCATTGGATTAAACCGAACAGCAAGCTATAAATTGTAAGAGCCCCATTTCATTATACACAAG